CTGACCACATCAAAAATTTAGTATAGGTTGCAGAATTACATGTTTATGGATCCATTTTCATGTTAATGATCCTTCAAAAATGCGACGTCTGTTAGGATTCATCTGTTGAATACACCCAAAGTGGTGAAGGGTATCATATAGTCGGCCCCGTCCGAATTTACTACTTTCCTTAATGGTTTAAAAATACTTTTTAGTTTTTTCCCATAGGCGTTGATTTTTTTAATAAATATTTTTCAGAGTTCCTCCACAGGCCTGAATTTTATAAAAATGTATTTTTTTTAATTTTTCTCCTTAGGCGTGAAATTTTAAAAAGTATTTTTTTTAATCACAAGATTATTTTTTTATTTTTTTTTTTTTTCAATACTCAACTCATTTCAATTCTTAGTAAATTGCCCGACAATTGCAAATTGATTTTTACATAATTCCATTATGATCAAATGTATTTTTATGCAATTTGATAAATAATACCCGGCAATTATTTAGCTTTTATCATAACAAAAATTTTGTATTTTTTTCTATAACAGAAAAAAATTGATTGACAGTTTTTATGGCGTCCTAAATTTATTATCAAAATTTTGTGACAGTGTTGAAGGCAATTGGATTTACAAACAATAACGGCCACGGACAACAACAACAGGAACATCAGCATCAGCATAAAAAACTTTGTAAACAAATTTAAATATTTTTGAATATTTATCAATTGTTTGACAATTGATTGTTTTTGTTGTTGCTGGTGGCGAGCTGGTTGTTTGGTTTGCTGACTGGCTGGCTGTCGGTATATTTGTTCGGCGTACATTTGCGGATTGTTGTCAATTGTGTCGGATTTTTTTGTTGCCATTGTGAGGTTATGCAAATTTATACAACACCAAAAATTTAATATTTATTTTTTTGAGTTTTTTTTTGTTATGATTTCGAATCACCATGGTTTTGAGATTTTTTGTATGAATATTCAAGTTTGATGTTGTTTTATTTTTTTTGTTTCAAAACTGTGATCCCCCACCTTAGTTAAGCTGAATTGGTTGATTTTGCCTCTCTGGGTTTAATGAATTCTTGGTAATCACTTAAAAGGCTATCAAATATAGTTTGGCTACGTCATTTATTATTGTTAAATGAACAAAATGTGTTAATTTTTAAATACAAAAAAAAAAAAAAAAAAAAAATATTTATAGAGAGAAAAATCGAAACCAGGGTATTGAGGGTGAAACTGGTTTCAGGTACTTTAGGAGTATCATTTTTTTTAATCAAATAAAATTTAACAATTTTTTGTGGGTGATTCGCTTCAATTTTGAACACCTTTGCCTACTCCTCCTCCTCCAAAAATCACATGTAGAAAAATGTTGTCGTAGTTTTAGGGAGGAAATCTCTGACTTAATGTTATTCTTATGTAGTAGATATTTTCAATCAAATTCAAATGATGTCACAGTAATCAATCTCAACATCGAAGCCAAAAATATATCCCCACTTTTTTAATTTGATATTCAAACATAAATTGATAACAAAAAAAAACTCGTTTTGAAGTCTATGTATATAAATATGGAACAAAATGGAATAAATAAAAAAACACAAAGTTCTGTTTTACAAATTTATGCAGAACAGTAGTCAATATGTCATAGAATATTGAACGAAGGCGTTGGGTGGGTGGTATGGCAAGGTATTAGATGAACAAATTTTTAACAAAACTTCTAGCCTTTGGAGAAATATTAAAAATTATTATAACTAGTAAGGGAAGTAGTAAAGTCGGACTGGGCCGACTATATGATACCCTTCACCACTTTGGGTATATATATTTTTTTTTATCCTTATATCGGACGAAAATATATATGGGAAATATTTCTATATCTGAACTGATTTTCACGAAACTTAACACACATCATTCAAGACTCAATTCACCACTATATGCAACATTTCGTGCATATCGAAAGATATATTGGGACTTTGGTGCACCATTTACCTCAAATCGGACGAAAATATATATGGGAGTTATATGTAAATCTGAACCGATTTTCACGAAACTTCACACAAATAATTCTACTCTTAATTCAGTTCGCTATGCCAAATTTCGTGCAAATCGAAATATACATAGGGACTTTGGTGCACCATTTGTCTTAAATCGGACGATAATATATATGGGAACTATATCTAAATTTGAACCGATTTTCACGAAACTTAGCACACATCATTGTAGACTCAATTCAGTATGCTGTGCCAAATTTCGTGCAAATCGAGAGATATGAAGGTACTTTGGTTCACCATTTACCTTAAATCGGGCGAAAATATATATGGGAGCTATATCTAAATCGGAACAGATTTTCACGAAATTCAATACACATCTTTCTAGACTCAATTCAGTATGCTGTGCCAAATTTCGTGCAAATCGAAAGATATATAGGGACTTTGGTGCACCATTTATAAAAAATCGGAAGAAAAAATATATGGGAGCTATATCTAAAACGGAACCGATTTTCGTGAAACTTAACATACATCATTCTAGAGTTAATTCAGTACTCTCGAGGGATATAAAGGGACTTCGGAGGAAATAATATATGGAACTATATCTAAATCTGAACCGATTTTCAAGAAAACTTAACACACATTATTCTAGACCTATTTCAGTACGCCGTGCCAAATTTCGTGCAAATCGAAAGATATATAGTGTCTTTGGTGCACCATTTACATAAAATCGGACGAAAATATATATGGGAGCTATATCTAAATCTGAACCGATTTTAGCATACATCATTCTAGGCTTAATTCAGTACGCTGTGCCAAATTTCGTGCAAATCGATAGATATATAGGGACTTTGATGCACCATTTACCTTTAATCGGACGAAAATATATTTAGGAGCTATATCTAAAAATGAACCGATTTTTTCCAATTTCAATAGGGTTCGTCCTTGGGCCAAACAAATGAGCTGTGCCAAATTTCATCCAAGTCGGATCATAAATGCGCCCTGTACTTTGTTTACAATTTAACATGGACAGACAGACGGATTGACGGACGGACGGACATGCATAAATCGACTCAAAAAGGTGAATCTATGCATATTCTCAAAAGACACCATGTGTCTATCTCGTTTCCTTTTGCCTGTTACAAACATATGAACAAAGACATAATACCCAGTACCACAGTGTGGTGAAGGGTATACAAATCAAACGAGAAAAAAACGAGAGCTACTAAAAAAAGTATTTTTTAAACCAGTGAGCAGAGCAGTATAGTCGGACGGGGCCGACCATATGATACCCTACACAACTTTCTGTGGTTCTATATTCTGAGCTTGGGCAATATTTCGCGATATTTGCACCCTCTTGACCGACTAGATGTTAACATATATTTCTAATATTCAGTAGACGAGGGCTGTAATTGTCCTGATTCTCTTTACCGTGTTTTATGTTGTGATGTTGGGCTTTCAATTGTGGCCTATAGATCGGCTCGAAAAAACACAAAAAATTAATTTTTCGGTCCATTTCATTTCTATCTGATCATCACCGAAAGTTAAAGGCGTTGTCATTGACCATACCTGGATCTTCAGGGAAAATTTCAAAGCTATGTTTCCGCCCTCCAGTGTGGTAATGGTTTACTAAATAATATATGAATACGTAAGCACCTGTAAATATTTAAGTGTAACTCCCACATCTGAGTACATAGGACAATGTAATTGGTATCAATTTAAAGGTCAACCACTCCTCTTGGATATACTATCAACTTATCGGGTCTATGCCCTTCAGTGGTAAATCTATACGCTATAGAATCAGCATGCCAAAGAATAAGCATGCCTGTTTTGATAAAGATCAAAAATGACAAAATATTTTTCACACAAAATCAGGGTCCATTTGACCCGCTAAATATTGATTGATCTTTATCAAAACAGGCATGCTTATTCTTTGGCCCGATCCCCTTCCCCATGTAAAAATTCGCGAAGTTCGGCTTCTGGGGCGACCTGAAAAAACCGAAAAAGTAAGTATTTGGTCCACTTCATCCCCTAAATATTAACCGATCTTTACCAAAAACAATAGGGGTCTTCATTGGCCAGAACCCATCCTACAAGCAAAATTTCGTAAAGATTGGTCCATAACTGTAGCCTGTATCGTGTTTACAAATTATAATGGACAGACGGACAGAGGGACGGACACACATGTCTAGATCGACTCAGCTAGTCGAGATATGTCGATCCGTATACTTAAAGGTGGGTCTAGGACCAATATTTCGCGGCGTTACAAACTCTTGGGGCTGCACAAAGCTATAATACCCTGACAACATAGTTGTGTAGGGTATAAAAATGAAAAAAAAAAAATTTTAAATCACGTTGATTGTAGCACAGGAAAATATATTTTTAAAAAATTCACACCTGAGGTAGTACCAAAAAAAATATATATATATATATATATTTCTTTTTAATATTTAAAAAACAATTTCATAAAAAAATATTTGTCCTATTTTCCTTAAATTGTCATGCTACCCTCTATTGTTCTCTTTTTCGTATCCCCATCCCCAAATAATCAATAAAACAAAACAAAAAAAAACTGACTTAAAGAAACATTGGACTGATAACGAAACCCGAAGAGATCATCCCAAACATACAAAAATGATTTCTGTTTATTTCTAAACATCGCTCAAAATACTGAGTTCCATAGAAAAATATGGAATGATAGCAGAGCAAACAACAAAAATAAAAAATTCAATCCACTTTGATTTTGTTTTCTCAAAGCAGTGACGGACGGCCTTCGCACAAGCCGCAAAATCAAACCGCTGAGGTTGTTGTTGGTTTTTCTTGTGTGTCCGTTCATACCTCAGCCGGTTGTTTTGTTTTTGTGTTTAATCTCATCTCTCTGACACTCACAACGGGCTGACTGATCTGTCATTTCCAAGTTCGGTCTATGCTAACGAAATCAAGAAATTTTGTGATCACAAATCAGTTTGTGTTGAAACCTCTTAGAAAGCGGAACATTTTCTCAATAAAAATAAAAATTTTAATTTCGTTTTGTAGTGTGACGAAGACATCTGTCAAGATGCAATTTTCAATTGTGTTGTTATTGGCCTCCGTTGTGGCCTGCACATGGGCCGGCAATGTACCCACCCAACCGCCAACAAAACAATTGGTGTGCTATTATGATTCGGCCAGTTTTGTTAAAGAAGGTAAGTTAAAGATTCGGAATTTTAATAATTTCTTGGAACTACGAAGCGAATGGCTAGCTTGTCAGATTAAAATTACGCAATGATGCTGCTAATTGAAAGTGGGCATTTAATTACCCAGTTTTTTCGTTTAAATTGCCAAGATTGCAATTAACTTCCAGTGTGCTAAGTAACTGGGCAAATATTAAATTTCAGTTTTTGTTTTATTTTTCCCAAGAAATTTGCATAACATCGAGAGTGATCTGTGGCCATCTGCCCCGTCCATTCGTCCCTACTGTCCTCCCATCACGTCCATTCCATTAGCAATGAATTTCAAGCAACCGCATTTTCATTGTTCAACGCTTGAGTGCAATTCACTTGGTTCTGTCCGGTGTGTGTAAATTACCCTTTACACAAAATTTGTTTAATTTCCTCTCCAAATGAAGAGGAAGAAGAAGAAAACACTCCGAATTTCCATGAATCAGTCGGTCAGTCATTATAAATAACAATTTTATAAATATTCATGTTCGAAGTAATTTAATTTTAAATTTATTTTTAAAAGCGGATTATCATACTACCCGCCACTGTATTCGATGAAGATAGTGGGGGTCATCAACTGCCATTAAGTTAGGGGTCCAATAGAGTGTTCTAGATTTTTTTTCTTTGAAATTGTTCTAAAAAGATTAGAAACAACAACAATTTGTGGAATGGCTTTCCCAAGAAAAAAAAAAACGAAAAACAAAATAATTATCAAGAATTAAAGAGATGTGATATGTAGAGGAGACACACACATACACACCGACATATTTACATTATAATTTTCTAAGAAGCGATTTCAATTAGGTGATAAAGTGTGACAGAATATGCAAGACCTGGCGACTTCTGTCTATATTGAAATTGGGATAGTACCATACAAGATGTGTAGACCATAATTTTTTTAAAAATATTTTTGCCGTAACCCAACATAGGGATGGGTTTTTTAAAAAATATTTTTTGGAAACTTTTTTTTCAATGGCCCCTCATAGACTTGGATTTAAAAAAATGTTTTCATTGGCCCTTCTTAAGCGTCGATTTTTTATTTTAAACATAATTTTTCATAGACCCTTCATAGGTGGGGATTTGTATACCCTACACAACTATGTTGTCAGGGTATTATAGCTTTGTGCAGCCCCAAGAGTTTGTAACGCCGCGAAATATTGGTACTAGGCCCACCTTTAAGTATATCGATCGTCATATCTCGACTAGCTGAATCGATCTCGACATGCATGTCCGTCCGTCTGTCCATTATAAATTGTAAACACGATAGAGGCCACAGTTATGGACCAATCTTCACGAATTTTTGCATGTAGGATGGGTTCTGGCCAATGAAGTCCCCTATTGTTTTAGATAAAGATCGGTTAATATTTAGGGGATGAAATGGATCAAATACTTAATTTTTGTCGGTTTTTCTGGTCGCTCCAGACGCCGCAATTATGGCCCAAATATCTCCATTTTGCATGGAGAAGGGCATCGGGCCAAAGAATAAGCATGCCTGTTTTAATAAAGATCGGTCAATATTTAGCGGGTCATATGGACCCTGACTTTTGTTTGAGAAATGACAAAATTTGTATTCTATAGCGTATATATTTACTCCTGAAGGACATAGACCCGAGAAGTTGATAGTATATCCTAAAGGAGTGGTTGACCTTTAAATAAGGTAAATGTGACTATGTGTGCATAGTTTTACCATTACTCCATTAGAGGACGGAAATGTCGCGCTGATAGTTTTGTATTGTACATGAACTTCCGATTATGGTCAGGGTTAGAAAGCGGAGTTGTTGATCTATAATCGGTGAAAAGGGAGTAAATATCTCGAAATATTGCCCAGGCTCAGAATATAGAACCGCAGAAAGTTTGATTTTTGTGGTAGTTGTGTAGGGTATCATATGGTCGGCACCGTCCGACTATACTGCTCCGCTCACTGGATTAAAAATATTTTTCATAGGCGGAGATTTTTATAACCTTCACCACACTGTGGTACAGGGTATTCTGTTTTTGTGCATATGTTTGTAACAGGCAAAAGGTACCGAGGTAGACACATAGTTCCTTTTGAGAATATGCCTAGAATCAATTTTTAAGTCGATTGTACAGGTCGCATTTATGATCCGATTTGGATGAAAGTTGACACAGGTCACTTATTTGGCCCAAGGACGAGTCCTATTGAAATTGGGAAAAATCGGTTCATATTTAGATATAGCTCCCATACAAAGTTTTGTCCGATTTTCTGTAAAAGGTGTAGCAAAGTCCTTATATATCTTTTGATTTGCACGAAATTTGGCACAGCGTACGGGATTAAGTCTAGAGTGGGGTGTGCTAAGTTTCGTGAAAATCGGTTCAGATTTAGATATAGCTCCTATATGTAGTTTCGTCCGATTTTATGTGAATGGTGCACCAAAGTCCCTATATATCTTTCGATTTCCAAGAAATTTGGCATAGGGTACTGAATTAAGTCGAGAATGATCTGTGCTAAGTTTCGTGAAAATCGGATCAAATTTATATATAGCTTCCATATATATTCTCATCCGATTTTATTTAAATGGTGCACCAGAGTCCCTATATATCTTTCGATTTGCACGAAATTTGGCATAGGGCACTGAATTATGTCCAGAATGTGTGCTAAGTTTCGTGAAAATCGGTTCAGATTTAGATATAGCCCCCATATATAGTTTCGTCCGATTTTATGTAAATGGTGCACCAAAGTCCATAAATATCTTTCGATTTGCATGAAATTTGGTATAGCGTACTCGATTACGTCTAGAATGTTGTGTGTTAAATTTCGTGACAATCGGTTCAGATTTAGATACAGCTCCCATATATATTCTCGTCCGATTTAATGTAAATAGTCCACCAAAGTCCCATATATCTCTCGATTTGCACGAAATTTGGCAGAGCGTAATGAATTAGGTCTAGAATGATGTCTGCTAAGTTTCGTGAAAATCGGTTCAGATTTAGATATAGCTCCTATATATAGCTTCGTCCGATTTTATGTAAATGGTGCACCAAAGCCCCGATATTTCTTTCGATTTGCACGAAATTTGGCATAGTACTGCATTGAGTCTAGAAAGATGTGTGCTAAGTTTCGTGAAAATCGGTGCAAATGTAGATATAGCTCACATATATATCTTCGTCCGATTTTATGTAAATGGTGCACCAAAGTCCCTATCTATCTTTCGATTTGCACGAAATTTAGCACAGCGTACTGAATTAGGTCTAGAATAATGTGTATTAAGTTACTTGAAAATCGGTTCAGATTTAGATATAGCTCCTATATATAGTTTCGTCCGATTTTCTGTAAATGGTGTACCAAAGTCCCTATATATCCTTGGATTCGCATGAAATTTGGCATAGCGTACTCAATTCAATCTAGAGTGATGTTTGTTGATTTTCGTGAAAATCGGCCCAGATTTAAGTATAGCTCCCATATATAGTTTTGTCCGATTTTATAAAAATGTTGTACCAAAGTCCCTATATATCTTTCGATTTACACGCAATTTCGTATAGTGTACTGAATTGAGTCTAGAATTTTTTTACTAGAATGCTGTGTGTTTAGTTTCGTGAAGATCGGTTCAGATTTAGATATAGGTCCCATATATATTTTCCTTCGATTTTATGTAAAGTGTGCACTGAAGACCCAAAGTTGGTACGATTGACATATAATTTTGTTAAAATCGATTCAGATTATCTTTTATCTGCATTTCTAATTTAATTTCCATTCACTTTTTCCATTTCAGGTCTTGCCAAAATGGTTGTCGACGATTTGGAACCCTCATTCCAATTTTGCACGTACATCATCTACGGTTATGCCGGTATTGAACGTGACTCCTTCAAGGCCATGAGTTTGAATCAAAATCTCGATCTGGATTTGGGCAAGGGTCTGTATCGTACTGTGACTCGTCTAAAGCGTAAATATCCCAATGTTAAGGTTATGTTGAGTGTTGGTGGTGATCGCGATATTGAGACTGGTGAAGATGCCAAGGATCTGCCCAATAAATATTTGGAACTTTTGGAAAATCCCATTGGCCGTCAACGTTTCATTAATACCATTTATGCTTTGGTTAAGACCTATGGTTTCGATGGTGTCGATATGGCCTATCAATTCCCCAAAAATAAACCCAAGAAGGTGCACAGTGGTTTGGGTAGCTTCTGGAAGGGTTTGAAAAAGACTTTCACTGGTGACTTTGATGTTGATCCCGAATCGGAAATGCACAAGGAACAATTTACCGCTTTGATGCGTGAATTGAAAAATGAATTGCGTCCTGATAACTACTTGGTTTCCGCCACGGTGTTGCCCAATGTTAATTCATCGAGTAAGTGGGATAATTGAGTAAAATTCAGGAAGAAAAATATTTCTAATTTGTTTTGAATTTTTGCAGAATTCTTTGATGTCGCTGCCCTGAACAGCTATGTTGACTTTGTCAACTTGGCTGCCTTTGATTTCTACACCCCCGAACGCAATCCCACTGTGGCTGATATTGCCGCTCCCCTCTACCCCATGGCTGATCGTAATCCTGAATTCAGTGTCGATTCTGTGGTCCAACATTGGTTACGCAATGGCTTCCCCAGCACCAAAATTAATGTTGGCATCAGCACCTATGGCCGCCCCTGGAAAATGACTGATGATTCGGGTGATTCTGGCATTCCACCAATTAGCAAGGTTGAAAATGCCGCACCCAAGGGTGAAAATACACAAATTCAAGGTCTCTACAGCTGGCAAGAGGTGTGCCAAATGTTGCCCAATGCCAATAATATGTATGCCAAGGGTGCTAATGCCCCATTGAAAAAGGTCCTTGATCCTGCCCGCAGAAGTGGTGTGTACGCCTTCCGTGCTGCCGACAAAAAGGGCGATCACGGTGTTTGGGTATCCTATGAGGATCCTGATACCGCTGCTGAAAAGACTGCCTATTCGAAGAATTTGAATTTGGGTGGTGTTGCTCTGTTCGATTTGGAATATGATGATTTCCGTGGCTTGTGCGTCGGAGAGAAATATCCCATTTTGAGAGCCATTAAATATCGTTTACTCAACTAAGTGGTGGAGTAGGAGGAGGAGGATGAGAAGAAGATATTTCGTTTCTAGGAATTTCAAAACACACATTTTTTTACTAATTTTAAGGATTTACAAAAACAGAAGAGTTGACATATATTTTGCAGATTTTTTTTGTTTGTTTTAAGAATCGAAAATAAAAAAAAAAATTGTATTATACAAATTGAAGGTGTCGATTTTTAAACTGGCGGAAGGACAATTTGCGGAAATGTAGGGTCAATGAAAAACTATTTTTAAACCAGTAAGGAAAGTAGTAAAGTCGGATGGGGCCGACTATATGATACCCTTGACCATTATGGGTATATTAAACAGATGCATCCGAACAGACGTCACATTTTTGAAGGATTTAGATTAACATTAAATTGGATTATCAAAAAAAAGTGACCTTTATCTGAATGTAAACCAACTTGGATCTATCCATAAACATGCCATTCGTTTGTTACAATAGGACAAAATTATGTAAATCGATTTAAAGCAAATATCTCTATAATACAAATCGGTCGGAAATATTTATGGGCCTTGGGTCTTTTTACTGAAAATCGGACGAAACTATGTATGGGAGCTATATCTAAATCCGAACCGATTCCAACAAAACTTGACACAAGGTAGGTTATAGAAACTTCAGTATATTGTGCAAATTTTGTTCCTATCGGCATAACTTCGGGTCTTTTGTGCCCCATTTACATTAAATCGGACGAAAAAATATATGGGAGCTATATCTATATCTGAACCGATTTTCACGAAATTTAGCACACATCATTCTATACTCAATTCAGTACGCTATGCTAAATTTCGTGCAAATCGAAGGATATACAGTGGTGGTCACAGAATTAAAACATTTACTGTGATAAACATTTTTTGATCAGCCCTCGATTCTTTTGAAGTATTTTTGAACATTTTTTAATTCAGAACACTTCGGTATACTGCACTTAAGAGATTTAGTGCGAAAATAGAAAATTATTGCATGCAATTTTCCATAAATAACGGTTTTTATAAAAATACATCGATTTTGAAGTGGCCATATAATTACAACATTGTGTGATTTTTTACTTGACTGCATTTTTTTTTTGAAAATATTTTTAAAAAATCTCTTTAATTTAGTTCAATTATATAAACTAAGAACTGATAGAATCATTTACAGATAAAAATATCTGTAAAATCTATCAAAATTGCCAAAAATTTCTACAGTACACCTAAAATTCAGAAAATACCCTTATTATAGAAAGTAAAGGTCCGAGTGTACTAGAAATTGCTAGAATTAGTAAAAAACAATTAGTAATTCTCAAAATGAATAAATATTTTAAATAAAAACTCAAAAAATGGGAATTAACCTAAAGGAACGATTCAATTTCAATAGCATTTACTAAAGAAGGCCGGAATATTTTTGCAGTATGTGAGAAAATATCGATTGATATTGGTATTTATTATATCAAATCGATTGTTCGAGTAGTTCAGAATATATTTTATCCAAAAATATATCAGTCACAACAGAACGAACAGAGATCAAGGCCTATGTTGACGAGTAAAGGTTTCTGGCACACAACAGCATTTTTGATGTTCAATACAAGTCTTCAAATATTTGTCAAAGTGTAAAATTTTTCCTAATTTGTTACTAAAATAGATTAAGTGGAAGTTATTCTCTTCATAAAATATTATTTTGGAAACATATTGTCATGTTCAATAGATTTTAAGGGTCAAGAGTTGACCATCAATCATGCTGCTGTGTGCCAGAAACCTTTACTCGACAACATAGGCCTTGATCTCTGTTCGTTCTGTTGTGACTGATATATTTTTGGATAAAATATATTCTGAACTACTCGAACAATCGATTTGATATAATAAATAACAATATCAATCGATATTTTCTCACATACTGCAAAAATATTCCGGCCTTCTTTAGTAAATGCTATTGAAATTGAATCGTTCCTTTAGGTTAATTCCCATTTTTTGAGTTTTTATTTAAAATATTTATTCATTTTGAGAATTACTAATTGTTTTTTACCAATTCTAGCAAATTTCTAGTACATTCGGACCTTTACTTTCTATAATAAGGGTATTTTCTGAATGTTAGGTGTACTGTAGAAATTTTTGGCAATTTTGATAGATTTTACAGATATTTTTATCTGTAAATGATTCTATAGTTTATATAATTGAACTAAATTAAAGAGATTTTTTAAAAATATTTTCAAAAAAAAAATGCAGTCAAGTAAAAAATCACACAATGTTGTAATTATATGGCCACTTCAAAATCGATGTATTTTCATAAAAACCGTTATTTATGGAAAATTGCATGCAATAATTTTCTATTTTCGCACTAAATCTCTTAAGTGCAGTATACCGAAGTGTTCTGAATTAAAAAATGTTCAAAAATACTTCAAAAGAATCGAGGGCTGATCAAAAAATGTTTATCACAGTAAATGTTTTAATTCTGTGACCACCATATTTCAACACAGGGTTCGTCCTTGGGCCGAATAAGTGACCTATGCCAAATTTCATCCAATTCGGATCATAAATGCGACCTGTACTTTCTTTACAATTTAACATGCACAGACAGACAGACAGACAGACGGACGGACATGCATAAATCGACTTAGAAAGTGATTCTATGCATGTTCTCAAAAGGAACCATGTGTCTATCTCGTTTCCTTTTGCCTGTTACAAACATATGCACAAAGACCACAGTGTGGTGAAGGGTATAAAAATATTTTTTAAGGAAAATCTCGAAAGAAACCAAATCCAAAGGTTAATTTTGGCGGTCGGAAAATTCTTAAAAAATCCAAGCCTATCAAAATTAATGGTTGCATATCATTGAAAGAGATTTTATAAATCCCTATTTTCAAAATATATCAAGTCTCAATTTGATATGTTGTGCAAGGGTCTTTGGTGCACTATTTATCTAAAAACTGACGAAAATATTATGGAAGCTATATCTAAATCTGAACCGATTTTTTTTTCCAATTTCAGTAGGGTTCGTCCTTGGGCCAAATAAATCAGCTGTGCCAAATTTCATTCAATTGAATCAAAAATGCGCTTGTACTTTGTTTACAATTTAACTTCAACAGACGGGCGGACAGGCATGCATAAATCGACTCAGAAAGTGAGTCTATGCATATTCTCAAAAGGAACCATGTGTCTATCTCGTTTCCTTTTGCCTCTAACAAACATATGCACAAAGACATAATACCCTGTACCACAGTGTGTTGAAGGGTATAGAAAATTTACCGGCATTTTCAATCCATCCTATTGAATTTTTATTTATTTTTTAATCACAGAATCATAATCAGCGTCCCCGAAACACCTATACGTGATATTTATCCCACTGCTCAGCATCCTGTGTCCCGTGCACAAAAAAAGGACATGAGACGATATTGGCACATTTATGTAGAAGAATAAGTCTCCTCTCATGGCATATAATGTGCTATCCAGCGTGCTCTGTGAACGACTGAAGCCAATGATCAAGGGTATTATTGGATCTCACCAATGCATCTTCAGACCTGGCAAATCCACCATTGACGAGATTTTCACTCAGATCATGTAAAACACCCAAGAAAAACACATCGACACATTCCACCTATTCGCCGCATACGACAGCCTTATCCCTTCAGAGGTGTTTAAAGCCATGTCTGCGTTTGTCATTCCTGCAAAATTAATACGGCTATGCAGGGTAACTTTAAATGGTTCAATGTCAACAGTTAAAGTAGGAAATTACCTCTCGGATCCCTTTAATTCCGAACGAGGATTCAGACAAGGTAACAGTTTGTCGTGCGACCTGTTCAACATCCTGCTGGAAGAGGTCATACGATATGCAACTGTAAACAGAAATGACACTCTGTACACCAAACAGCATATGTTACACGCCTACGTCGACGACATCAACAGCCACCTTTGAACGAATTGAGAAGCAGTCTGCCAAAGTGGGACTGGCAGTAAATGGCGAAAAGATCAAGCCTATGATATCAACACGCAACGACATCCAGTAGACTCGTACCATCTGTGGAACTTGAAAACTACAGCTTCGATGTAGTGAACGTTTTTATATACCTCGGTACCGCCATAAACAAGACTAATAACATCCGGAGGATAATAGTCTTGGCCAACAGATGCTACTATGGTCAGAGTAAGCCACTCAAAAGCAAGGACACCTCTCGCCAGACCAAACTCACACTCTGAAAGACGCTGATATTACCCGTTCAGTTATATGGATCTTAAGCATGGGTAATATCGCCGTCGAATAAACCATGAGCTGTACCATCTATTCACGAACATCGACATAGTCAGACGGATGGAGCTACAGCGACTACGTTGGCTAGGCCATCTTGTTAGAATGGATGAATATGTCCCAGCTCAACAGGCATATAAAGCAAGCTAAGTGATGGTTCACGCAGAAGGGAAAGGCCGCGAACCCGATGGAGAGATCAAGTAGAAGACAACATTTCGAAAAATTGTCTTTCAAATTGGATGAGATGCGCACAAGACCGACGTACATGGAAATCTTTTTTTGCCATTTCTGGTTTTTATTTGCTGCCCCTTCCACACAATACCCAATAATTAGTACATTTTCGCTTCAGTTTTATATTCTACCAGACTATTTTGTAATATTAAATTTCTGTGACTTCAGAAGTTTGTAACGGCATGAAGTATTGGTCCTAGACCCGCCCTTAAGTAAATCGATGGTATTACCTTGACTACCTGAATAGTTCTGGCCATATTCATTGTAATTTGTAATCAAAGTACAGGCCCGGCAAATCTATACGTAGGCGCGGTTCAAGTCCTCAAGTACGGCATCATGGCATTACAGATAGAGAAGAGGATCTGGCCAACGAATAATCATCACCGTATTGGAGATAATAGGTCTATATTTAACGGGTCACTGTTGCGTGAAAAATTTAATCTAATAGGGGATATGTTTACTCTATTCCAAGAATTGGGAATGTTTGACCTTCAAAGTAATATAAATTATAATTTTGCATACGAAAAAGTTTTTCCAGGATAGGGTTTAGCTCCACCAT